GTTTAGACTATGGCTCATTTGTGAAGCATGATTCGATGCCGTGCAAACAGAAGGCCGGTGCAAAGAAGCTTCGCCGGCGCAGCTCAAGGCGCTGTGGAGACAGTCCTAAGCTGCATTCTGTCTCATCTTCGCAAACGGGAAAACTGGTGCAGGCCCAGGAAAAGTCAAAGCGGTCATGTCCTGGACTTCCTTCGCGGGTGGAAGTTAAATTGGAAGCCGCTAACTCTGACAAGCCATGAACCCATGATCATGCAGGTCCTGCAACCGTGTGCAACCTACATCTGAATTCACGGCTCCAGGTTGAATGCATCATTGTTCTGCCTCAAACGGGCACTGAAGGGCACTGAGGCAAACAACTAGTATCGTCTTAGAGGGCTCCCCTAAGCATATGCACAGCATATGCAGCGTAATCCAAGTTGTTCCGACATGTTCCGACAGCCTGAACTTGCAGGGAGGAATCCGTAGCCCTAGTAGCTGGCACGGGCCGTGCTGCCGGGGCGGCCTGGATCTGAGTTTGCATTGCCTTGTACAGAAGCATCGTTGGAGTCATCCAGCAAAGGTTGTCAGGATGCAAGCAAATGGGGCTCCTTGGCTTTCAGCAAAAACATGGGGCGGGCGAAGTCACCTAGGAGCAAGCTGACAAGCAGTCATGCCAGATTCTTATGGCATGCAGGTGTTACCCCCTTCAGCGGGCTTCCCAAATTCTGGGCAGCCTGCCTTCAGAGTGATGAGGCCTTCCTCCATCCTTGCCAGAGGTCCAACGGTGTGCTGATGCAGTTTGAGTGCTTGACTCTGTAAGGCCACGCACAGTGGGAAACAACGTCATGGAAGCAAGGCCTGGGTTAAACCTTCAGCTGTCTCCTATTTCATGCTGGCCCGCCTTTGCCCAGGACCAACATGACGCAGTTGCATGCACAGTGTCTTGGCAGGGGTAGTGCTTCGATAGTGCTGAGTTCTTGGAAGTGGAAGATATCCTCCCACGAAAGCTTCTCAGGATGTCTCAAGCGCACCAGGAGGACTTTCCATTGCCAAACATGCCGGATGGATCCTCATCGCCAATGCCACCCAAGCCATGTACTTACCCAATGAGGGAAAATCGGCCAAGGAGCCCCCGCGTCTCACGGCCACTAACCCCTACTGGTAGTCGCACTCCGACAGCACCGGCACCACCAGGCGCTCCACCAGGAATGCCTGGCCAGGCTCCCATGGGCCTGCCTCCAGCAATGCCGCCGACAGAAACGATGCCTGGAGCACGGACACCACCAAGAACAGGAGCTCGCACTCCCGTCAACGGTTTCAACAGCGAAGTCCACCGAAGCAGTGTGGCGATACAACCGGGCACGCCATGCCGCGTCTTGACACCACGGGGGGGCACCACTCCAGTGACAGGAGCTGGCCCAGGCACTGCCCCTCTCCCGGCGCCCTGCCCTGCGACGGCGACAACCCCAGCTAGGTACGCCAATGGCACAACCCCTCGTGGAGGTGCCACTCCTCGCGGAAACCTCACTCCGCGTGGCGGAAACCTCACCCCTCGTGGAAGGCCTGGAAGTGCCACGCCACGCAGACCAGGAGGGGTGACGCCACCCATTCAGCCAGGATTGCAACCGGGTGTGGGTCGCTTCTATGACTATGCTCAGCCTGAGGATGATGGCATCATTGTCAATGGAAGTTGGGCAATGCCGCAAAACCCTGGGCAGGTTCCCACGCAATACCCCAACCCTGAGAGCTTCTTTGTGCCGGAGCCTCCCGTGCCCCTAGGCCCAACTGCACTCCCATGGCTGCCATCACGGCGGCCAGAAAGTGCAGACTTCAAGATGCTGGAGAAGGAGGATTTTCTTTCCAAGCTCAACGAAGTCTGCGATGCCTTCCAGCCAGATGAGGTACCAATCACGGGACTCTCGCCAATGAGCGAGTCGCCGGCTTCACCTCAGAACACATTCAAACTCGCGGTGGCACAGAGCTCTCTGAGCACTTTGCTAGAGGAGGCTATGTGGAGTGGACCCATCCGACATATGGCAATCTGTGTGATGGCTCGGAGGGTGATCATGCTTGCAGACTCAATCCGTAACAACCCAGAGACTCCCGGCGGAAAGGAGTTAATGGTTGCTCTTCTGACGTCTGTCAAGCAGATGTGTGCAGCCAACACCAACGATGTGGCAGTCAGCAAGGGTGAGAGGTTCAGCGGCCGAGTAATCCTGCTACTTGGGTCGGCCAGCTGTATGCCTGAGCAGATCCTCAAGGAGTGCGGTGAACGATACCGGCAGATCGACCAGCACTGCATCATTCTCGCATTATCGATGGGTGCTGAGCCTGCCGGCTCAGCACAGCTCGGCAAGGCTATGGCCCTTGCCGTAAATGCCTGGGGTGAGGCCGAGGACAAGTATGGCCCTCCTGGCACAGCAGGTGGTGCTGGACGACCAGAGTTGTTGGTCCACCTGTTCGGAAGTGCAGGCTTCCATGCCTGGGCGAAAACACTACGCATTTGGTATGAGCAGTCCTTCTATCCAGACCAGAGACGGCTGACGGGGAGAGTCCCAACAATGGACAGGGTCCTCAAGGGTGTGATTCTGGACTCTGCTCCAGGCAAGAACTCCGTTTCTGTCATGTAGCAGCTTGTTCTTGTGGCTCTCTGCTTTTCTGAGCGTCTATCTGCTGAGGCGATTCTGGCAACAAGATGCTCGGTGCTTTTCCTCTCGTTCAGGGAGATGCTGCCTTGCTCTCCGACCTGCCCTCAGCTATGAAGCCAGCCCACCTGCAGCATGAAATTGTCGAACGTCCGAGGCCATGAATGGGTACGGCGCAGATGGGTCGGAGCTTTCCGAGGCCTGGTGTTTGGGACCCCGTGAGACTGCAGAACTAGAAGACAACGCAAGATATTTGCTCTTCCACAGAATTAAGACTTGCCAAAGTGAAGTGTATTCCGCTAGATCTCATGAGCTGAATTGTAGATTGCATGTGGCAGGTCGCAAAGCTACAGGCTGGGTCAGGAGTTTTTTACACTTGCTGCTACTCAAAATAGAAGCTTCCACGGTGCTGCAGGCCTCGCAAAGTTCGATGAGAGAATTAACAAAGAAAGGTGCTCCACTCTGGGAGTATTATGAGGATCTTATGCGGCAGGACGGGCTTTTACGGAATAGCCGAAGAGCGCAGTCCTGCTGTGATGTTATGGTTTCTGTGCAGGAGCAAGGTCTCCAGATGATGGTTCATCAGCACGAGCCAGGGGTGCCGCTTTGTTTCATCTACTCAAGCTCGGACAGGCCACCCTTGCTAGTTTGAACTCAGCTGACAGACACTTTCCTGGTGCATAATATGACACTTTCCGCAATTGGGGGACCTCAATGGTGATAAAGCGGGGATTCCTTGCGGAGGATCCCCTGGTTTTGAAGGGTTCTACATGCATTTCGTGCATTTCATGTCGTGCGCTTGTCCAGGATAGCACCGGCTGTTCAGATCGAGCGCTACGTGGAGGAGTGCAGGATGCGGCTCGACCAGCTTGAGAGCCAGGCGCGCATGTTATAGGTCAGGTCTTCTTTGGGTTCAGGAAGAACTTCTATCCCCTTTGGGGCTGTGAAGTATCCAGCTTGGCTTAAGAAGTGCCTACGCAGCAAAGGTCAATAAAGGTCAGTTGCTGAAGATGCCATACAAAAAATCAATCCAGCTTGAGGATCCCAACGCCAGTTAGGCTCTCACTCGCACAGGTACTGTAAGCCTCCATTCCTGACATCTCTTGCATGCAATCCAACAAGTCCCATTCAGGCCCACATGAGCTGCCCTGCTGTGCTGACTTCTCATCCTGAACCCAGCTGGGCTGACCCAAAAGATCCCAGGGTCTGTGAAAACTTGCAGGGATTGCTTGCCCCGAAGGCCCCCGAACCTCGGCAGCTTTGCTTTGAGCATTCTGGTCACGTTGCGCATCGGAGAGGGCCGACAGAAGCACCTGGGCAGCAGTATGGGAGGACGAAGAGGAAGATGATTAGGTGTAATGATAAGCCTGATAAGCAGGATGATGTGCCAGGAGCCTGTGCTGTCACTGGGATGGTTTGCCGGCCAGACGAGAACCTTAATTTGCCAAGAGTGCAAGAGGCAATTCTTTGTGTCTTTTTAAAAGATATGTTCCTCACCAAGCGGCATAAATCAGATTTTTTCGCAGAGTGCTGATGAAAGCAGAGAGGGCTGGACAGCTGAAACTGCACATTCTCCGACACCTCAAATCCTCAAACCAGAGCGAGGGAGGCGTGTGTGACAAAAAGTCGTCCTGTTGAGAGTAGAGGGAACGGGGATGAGAGCTGCCAACATTGAATCACATGAGCCGTGTTAGAGGTTTATAACTGTGCTTCCCAGCAAGGATGAGTATTGGAAGACGGTCCACGACTTCTGGAGACAGGCGCTGTATTGCTGATTGCAGGCCCCGCCTTCAATACCCAGACGCTTGCAGTCCCAGGCTGCAAGCCTGTTCTGCTTAAGTTTTCTTCATTTGCTTCATCCTTAAGGAGGGTGCGATGTGCAAATCAAGTACGGTGTATGAATATGCCAATGAAGGTAGTAAAGGTGTAGTCCCACGAGTCATCTCCACCCTGCCGATTTTGTCCAGGCACCTTTGGCCACACTTTCTGTCCGGTTGTTTTGCTTCCAGGGATATGCTGGTAGATATGTTTATGTCTTGCCGACATTCTAGGCTGCAAGCTTTTTCGAGGTAGTGTGGCCAGTTTTCAGCGTGTACAAACGTGCTATCCGCTTCAAAACGCAGCGGAGTTTTCTCAGTCTCACACTGCTGGCGGGCGTGGCTCCGCAAAAGCATCTTCAATGAATTAGAGCCGGACTAAATCTGGCTCTGGCCGTTTGGCATTGTCACAAGACATGCCGCGCAGTTTCAATTCCGCGCTTTACGCGTACCTGCTCTTTAGCAGGCAGTTGCGGAGGCAGATGCAAAGGGGACGTTGGTTTCACTGATGTCCCGACAGTGTCCTTCTCGCACGGCCGTGGCCTAAGCAAATCAGAGCGTGATTCAGCATGTTTACATGGTTGTGCACGACCCACAGCTGGGCAGCTTGAGAGCTTCATGTTCTATTCACACGCCCGAGAGAGAGTGGCCCGGCAAAAGGCCCAACAAGCCTTCAGAGCTGACTTGCAGCGGGAAGACTCAACAGACGGAAGCAGGTCATGAAGAAGACAAAGCTGGGTTCCTCCCTTGGTCTGACTTGAGACTGACTGGTCCCATGTCCTTAGGTCAGAGCGTTTGTGTCAAGTTCCGCATCTCTGTCAAGCTCGCCCAGCATACTGAAGAGCAGGATTCGAGCTTGTACTGGTGTTGGTCGTTGTTGCAAGGGGGGCTGGCACCCAATATGAAGATGATATCATGTTTTCTCAACAAGTGTCTGGTGCAGGACCTGGCTGAGCTGTGGGGCGTGGGTTTCGATGAAAAAGAGCCGACCAGTCTGCATCCAGACCCTTGAATTGGCTGCACGCTTTGCTCAATGTCGAAGTCAAGCACACGGCAGCTGATTCACGACTTGGCCTCTAAACACAGCTCAAGCAACGTTTGGTTCGAGACAGCTAGGGGAATGTCCAGGCCTACGCCGGTGGCAAAGCTTGTGAGGCTTAGATGGTGTGACGTGAATTCGAACTTCCTTCACAAGTTCCAGAGTCCCCAGAGGGGACTTCCACGCCTTGGCACCCTTGTGTTGAACGCCGCAGCCATCCTCAGCTTCAAGCAATTGCCTGCCAGTCGGCAGCCTTCAACTGCAGCGTCACGGCAGCACGGAGAATCTCAACATGGTTGGCAGAGTTGTAGGCCCTGAGCTCCTTGAATTGTCAGGCAATGACGTCTGCCACCGTCGCAAAGCTCTCGCTCGTTTCCGCAATGTCCACCGTGCTGCTAAGCTGCATTGAGCCTTGTTTCTTGCAGAGTCCTGCCTTGCTTTATGAATGGAAGATCCGTTGTGGTCAGCCAGGTCCGGCTTTCTTCCACGTTCGGCCATTGCTTGGGGTGTGGCTTGGCTGGAATGCGTAACGGCGCTTGAAAGGTTTTGTTGCTAGAAGTACCGAGGTGTGGCACGCGTGGCTGGTTTGGCGATGGTGGTGAGGCTAAACCAAAGATCGTTTCAGAATGGAGCAGAGCGCATGTGCCCAGGCTGCAAGTATTTGCAATGCAGGCAGTGGATGGCATTTGATGTTTGATTCTTTGCGCGTGAGGCAAGCAGATACTGAACCAGTCACAAGAATCTGCAGTGGCATCTTCCAACTTGATCAGTCAGGCTGGTGTTTAGACGTTTTCCTGAGATGGATGCAGGGAGAGTCCCGTTGTAGTTGTATTGCCAGCAGCCCTGCTAGGAGCATCATTTGCTGGGAGCAGCCGTGTTTCTGACAGCAACATCAATAGAAGAGTGCCTAAACCTGCACATATTCATGCGTAACGGCATGCGCGGCGGCGGCAGAGGTCACGAGACATTTTCAGCACGGTGCAACTGCACCTAAGGTTGCAGCAGATGTTTGTTTCTGAAGCCTTGGCCCTTCACCCCAGCAAGGGTGGGTGCCTCAAGGAGCGGCTCAGATGCGCTTACCAGTCTTGCAGGGCTTGCACGCTTGCCATTTTTGTGGGCAAGGGCAGGCCACGAGTAATCTAGATCAGCACATCCTGCCGCAAGCCATGACGCACTGTCGTCGTAGCAAGGTTCAATTGCGCTCTGGCTGCTTTCAGTGCCCTCTGCCGTGGTTTCGCCACTTCTGGAAAGCTTCGGTGGATACCGACTGACTCTACCAACGAACGCGCTGATGCCACAAGCCACCATCTCAGCATTCAGCACGGGTTGAATCATGACTTGCTTCAGCAAGCTTCCTGGATTCTTGTTGCTCAACTGGTAGAACTCCGAGGCCTTGATGAGCTGCAGACTTTGCTCCGACGCCTGTCTCCGGCCCAGCGACGCCAAGCGATCGAGCAACGCCTTTCGCTTGCTCAACGCCGCCAGCTGGAACAGACGATGCTGAGGCCGAAGATTAGCGGGACTTGCGCAGCACTTCCTGCTGTCAGCTGACTTGCATTCCTGAGGAAGCAGCCAGAGACATCAGCAACAAAGAAGAGAAAGAAGGGAGTGTTCACGGAACGCACTTTGTGCAAGAAAGCCGCTGGCACTTGCTTCCGTCCCATTGTGCGCATCTGAGTGGTGTTCACATGCATGTAGTGAAACGCATATTCCAAAGACCTGTACAAGGGGGCTTCACCAGCCTATAATGATTTTGCAGTCGCAGAATGTGTGTTCCATGTGGTCTGGCGTGCCATTCTATAGTGATCGCATCTTGGGGGACGTGGGGAAGTCATTCCATGGACTGAAGCTGCTTTGTAGTGCTACCTTCTGCTTATGGCCTGACCCTTGGGGTTCTCGAGGTCCACCTGCATGCCGGGCTCTATGCGCAGACCAGAGTCTGCAAAGACTTGGCTATGGCCGTGTCAGGCATTGGAGCCCTGATCCTGATGCAGGCTCGCTGCAAGGCTCACTGCAGAGCAGGCAGAGCTTTGGGACCTTGGAGGCAGGAAATCCGGCCTGAAGAAATCACAGGCGTGGCTGCAGAGCTACATGCAGCAATCAAGCAAAGTCTGGAGTCTGAACATCTCCGCGGAAAGAGGATTGGTGTCGTCTTCAGGACGCGCATTGCGATTTGCCAGGGCGAGCTTGCCACTCCTACGCGGAGCGATGCAGAATCTGCCTTGGAAGATTGGAGCACTGTGCAGCGGGCAGCGGCCATGGGCTTTCGCGCAGACCGCGCTTCGTGCCAGGTGCTCCTCAGCAGTCTGCGGTGCTCTGCAGCTGCTGGCACTGGCCAGCAGCGCCAGGCGAGCCGCTCAAAGAGGCTGCGCCAGATGCCCGAGCGCTGCGCAGCCGGTGCCGTTCCCCCGAGTTCCGAGAAGGGTCTGCTGAGTCTTGACTCAATTCTGGTGCTGACTGCACAAGCGATTCTTGCATGCAAAGCCATGCAGTCCAAGTCGCTACCCATGTACGAGGTTTCAGAACTGTGATGGACAATGCCGCCCTGTTACCAACATGAGCCTGAGCTCCTGCCATGGTTTTCCATTTTGCTTGTGCAAGTGTGTCTGCAGCTCTTTGCAAGCTTCTGAACAGCACATGGCGCATGCCTGCGATCTTGGCCAGACTTGAAGTGCATGCGGCCACTTGCGCAAGCGTAACGGCGTTGCGCCGGCAAAGTGCACACTTCTGCAGTAAGCTGTAGTCTGGTACAGAGCATGACTTAGAGAAAAGGATTTAGTGCTAGGGAAGACCCACAGGGCAGTGTAGGCTGGACACGAGGTGAGAGGGGCATCTTCTGCCACAGGCTTTTCTTGGAGACTGCAGTGCAGTTAGGGTGGGATCTGGCCAGTGACCGCCCAACGAATAATGATCCCACTGCATTTTTTAAATCCTCTTCCAAGCATGCCAAGAGTTCATGAAGTTGCTGCATCTGATTTGCAAGCATGCCTGCGGCAGGCACATGCTTGCGTGCTTGCGATATCGCTGATGTTGGAGAGGCCAGCCTCAGTGTTTCTCGCTCTGGGCCTAGCAGTGTGAGACGCAGTGTGAGACCTTCGTTTCTGGCATGCAGCAAGTCTCTTGCTTGCCAAGCTGTTTTCAAGGACTCAAGCTACTCCCTCAACGACTCACATGGATTAGCGAACACACCAAAGCACAAGTCATGGCTACACTGAACGGCCGAATTATGTGAACCTCGTTTTCTTTGAAATGGTTGGCAGGTTAAGTGTAGTGAGTAAAGCAGTTGACCCAGCCCTGCAGACCTTTTCATAGAGCACCTGGAATGGGCAGAGGCAAACGCAATGCTTTGAAGTCTATCTTTGTGCTGACTGGTGCGCTTTTAGCACCGCGACTGCTACGATTTCACTCGGTGCGATCGAGATGCTGCGTGCATCTTGCCAGGATGTGACACGCACAGTAGCCGCAAGTGCATGAACTGCTAGTGTAATCCTCAACGTAAGGACCACGCGATGGGCACCCACCATGGCTCTGCCTATTCATCCGGGTGTGCGGGTGGAAGCTTTGTGGGAGGAAGATTTGCAATGGTATCTCGGCACCATCCACGAGGCGACGGGTTTCGGCTCACCTCTTTGCCGTCTCTTGGCGTAGCAGCATGCTCCACAGGACTTCCAGAATGGAACCTGCCTCATTCTTTGGGATGATCCGGACGGAGGGCCCGAGCTCTCTCACTGTGCCATACCAGACATTAGAATTCTGCGCCTGTCCTACTCTCCGGGTGACTCGGCTGAACTGAAGCATGAAAGTTCCAGCGTGGAGAGGTTTATTTTGGGGGCTGCGCACAGGAGCGGGCAACGCAGGCAAGGCCCTCACCCCGCCGCCCCTGCACCCCTGCATGGAGAAGCGATCCCCCAAGGATGCTGATGATGCTGGCGGAGGGGGCCAGCATCATCAGCATCATTGGGAATCCATTTCTCCAATCTGAAGTCTTCCGGCACCCTCTCAAGCCTTGACAATTTGCTGGCCCGGCTTGGACGGGCCTCGGGGCTAGTTTTCAAAAACCTCTGTGCTCATGATGCTGTTTTGGTTTCTCGAGGACCCAAAATGCCTTCAACAATTCCTCCGTAGCGAGGGGATTCGCTTCAAAAGCGAATGTGAGTTTTGGCTTGGTTTTGGAGTGGGGTCCGGGAGGGCCCCTTGGAGAAACGGAGGCAGGGTCGGTCTTGGCAAAGCCAGGGTCATGGCCTGGTGGGGCAGCAACCCCAGGGTGTTGCCCAATTTAACGGCTGCCATGGCTGGGGAAGGCATCGAGTGTGCGCTCCTATTTGCGTCGAGTGTGCGCTCCAAATGCGTCGAGTGTGCGCTCCTAGGTGTGTTTTGAATGCCCGCCAGAGCTTGCTTTGTGGCGGCTGCAGTGAACGCATACAGGCAACATTTCGCCAGCATCGGAGGCCCATCAAGAGCACCTTCATCGAGCAATGATGCTTGTCACATTACATGGAGGCCTTGTAGTTATCCAACCTCATTCCAACTGTCCGATCTGCCGGAAGCATTTTTACATGAATTTCTGACAATCATGGGTTCGTGTGCCGAGCCGCCGAGCACTATCCGCGCATTTGCGCAGTGGCTTCAACCAAAGCCAGGCGGGATTTCTGCCACTGAGGGGCGGGTGTTCATGAGGGACTCTTTGGCACGACAGCGCGCAATTCCATTAATTATGGACGCGAAAAAGGTTCGAGGTTTGGGGCTGCCGGTCTAGGGGTTAACGGGGTAAGGGTTCCGGCCTGAGGCCGGGCTTTTCGCGCGCGCAATTCCATTAATTATGGACGCGAAAAAAGGTTGGAGGTTTGCCAAGGTATCCACCCGACCCCAAACACTAAACCCTCGACCCTAAACCCTGAAAACCCTAAAAACCCTAAAACCACCTAAACCCTAAAAACCCTGCCCTAAACCCTAAAAACCTTAAAGCCCTGTACAATAGGTGTGAACGTGACCTTCGCCGACCTGCTCAAGCTGATGTCTTGGGTAGCTTCGTTACCTCAGGTCCTGGGACTCCTTCACTTTGGGGCCAATAATTATTGGTTTGGGTTGGGGTGTCCCGCGCATTGCAACGGGTCTTTCGTGTACTCGCTTGCCATTTGGGTTGCTGGTTTCGGGGTTGGTGCCTTAGCTGTGCTAGCCTACTTTCGGCAAGTCCTTTTCTTGCCTTCGGCTTTCCCCGTGTCTGCCGATTCCCGAGCCCCTAGTTCCCCTCAGGGTACTGTGGTTCGTAGGCCTGCTGCCCTTAGGCTTAGGGGATATTTGCATGAGCACCAACCTTGATTTGGCTGCTGCTATCTCTGAGGTTCAGGTCGCTTTGAGCGTCTCAGGATCGCTGCTGACCGTTCTGCTACATCCTCCCAAGGCTGGGACTTTGTGGATTCCCCTCCAGACGGTGGGCCTGTAGCTTCCGAGGGTGCACATAGGGATAGGGGTTCTAGTCCTCAGACACCCCCTAGGGTTGCCCCTAAGGCCGCTCCATCCACCCCAACCCGTGCTCAGACCTCGGCTTCTTTTGCCGCTTGCCCCCAGTACTGTTTGGACATCTGTGCCCGGCTTTCTGCTTCTTCCCTTTCACCTTCTGAAAGGGCCAAGCGTGCGTGGGTTGCAGGCCTTTGGGCCAAGGAAGTTTTGCAAGGAAGGTGGGGAACGCCCCTCCCTTCTACATCGGTTGGTCTCCGCCCTACTGTTTACATTGTCCTGCGCTGCGCTGATCTGGCCGAGCCTGCCAGGTTCTCCTCATACGCTGCCTTCAAGCGAGCTGTCGGTCCTTTGGAGAATTCTGACACTGTTTGTCACTCCTTTCCTTCTTTGGCTGAGGCGTGTGTTTATTGCTACGCTGCCGGCATTCCTTTGCCTCATCTGCGGCAGTGATGTTGCAACTGGCAGACCTGCAATTGGGGACCGGAAGCCCTGGACAACCATGTGTGCTTGCTTGGGCAACTGTTTGTGCCTCAGGAGAGCCGAGGCAAGTGCTCCTCCTTCCACTTCTGGCCCGCGAGGGGGGATTCCTGTGTGCCCTTCCGGGCGATCTGCATCCAGAGGCTCAGGCCAAAGCCGGAGCCCCTCTTCCTTCGAATATCTTGGGTCCTTCTTGCCTGGTGACAGTGCCGGCCATAGAGGAGGACGAGGCAGGAGAGGAAGTCCCTGCGGGCTTAGACATTTCGGCGAGCTGGGAGCTTTGGCCGCTATGAGGGTCTTCGATCCTGTGACCGAGACAGGGGTTGTGCATTCATTCGTGTCAGATGCCCCCCACCTTGTGCCTCAGCATACCTCTCTCCTTCAGATGGCCAGGGCATGGATAGAACAGGAGGCAACCGAAAAGCTAGGTTTCTATTCTGCTCAGGAAGACGAGGCACCGGCCCCTGTGGTCAAGAAGGCAACTCCCAAAGCCAGCCAGCTCTCCGACCAGGTGGCCTCGCTTGCAAACTTGCTCCCGGGGTTGATAGATCAGGTCAAGTCGGTTGTGGACCGCCAGGACCGCCTAGAGGCAGGTGCAGGTGCACAGGCAGCGGCCTCGCCGGCCACTGTGTTGGCCAAGCCGGCTCATCAACGCCCGTTTGTGCCCCCCAAGACCCCCGACTTCCAATGCCCAAGCTGACGGCCCTGACTGGACCCCCGCCTCGGACAAAGCCCGTGGATCCGACAGCCCTGTCACCTGCGCAAGACCTAGCCGAGGGAGCCCTCGACGCAGGTTATCCTTCTGGGCAGCCGCCTTTGCCAGCAGCATCTGCTACCTCGCCTATTGATGTCATGCAAACGGCCCTGCTGCAGCAAAGCCAAGCCTTATCCACTCTGGTAAGCCACCTTGTTTCGCAGCAGGACGGCGGCCTGGCCGACCTGACCTCAAGTTCGGGGGTAGTGGGGATAGGTGCCAAAGGGGCCGCCAAAAGGGAGAAGTTGCAAGCCGCCCTTGCTGCTCGATCGGGGGACTTTTTTCTTCAGATCTCTCAAGCTGCCTTCAAGCACCTCAACCAACCCCTCCGCTCAGTGCCCCGGCTCACTGGAGGACTTGGCAGGTCAGGTGTCGATTTGCCACTATTTAGAAAGGTTTGGGGGATTTGGGGGCCATCGGGAGACAGGGTACATAATGTGGTGTTTGGCCCATGTGGCAGATTGCTTGCTTCTGCAGGACGTTGTAGGAGCTCAGGAGTTCTTGGCGCTCACTCTCGTCGCTTTGGATCAGAGTGTGTTAGACCACAATCGCTGGGATTTTGCATGGATCCTCACTCTCTTGGAGGACCCTCCTGCCCAACTGTTTCATGCCCGGCCTTACAGCTCGAATCCCCGGTCCCGAGCTTTCTCTCCGCTGTCACCGGTAGCCTGGACGACATGTGCGCTGCAATACCTGAAGGAAATCGATCTGATAACCACTCGTCGCCTTGAGAGTTTGGGTTCGCCTGCCAAGTTCCCATCACAGCCCCTTTCCACGGAGGTTCAAGGCGAGGTGCCCTCCAAGCCAAAGAGGCCTCCCAGATACCCCAGAAAGCCAAACGCGGACGCCTCAGTGCCCAAGTAGTTTCTTTGGCTGCTTGGGGGCCGCAAGCCCTCGCAGCGTTGTACCCGGCCACCGCCTGGACTTTCGAAGTCGAGTGGTTCTGGGTCTGTGCTGGATTTTTCTACGCAAGTGTCCTTTGCCACCTGGGCCGGTGGCTTGTTGAGGTCTGTGCTGCGTACTCGCACGCCTTTTGCCTCCTTTCTTCGGTCCACCTTGCATCTGCCCAGGCCTTGCGGGCCTGCTCAGCCTTCCAGGGGATGTGCCTCTCGGCTTTTCCCCCTGCCTGTCGTTCATCCTGGCGTCTTTGAGCACTTCTCTTTTGAGCTTGGGTCCAGGGCAAGGAAGCGCATCATGCACAGGCGCCTCCTTCACGTTGTCTGTATGGGGTTGAATTTTCTCCATGCGAACTTTGTTCCGCCACCCTTGGACTCCTTGGCTCTTCCGCCCACTGCAGCACAGCGAAGCCTCGTTGCGCACGTGAGCAGACATTTGAAGGCTTTCGGTGCCTCCGTCGGGACCTTTATGTTGCCTGATGCCGGCCGCCGCAATCCCCAATTAATTGCACGCCTTTCGGAGCTTTCGGCCTTCCTTGCCTCAACACCTGGCTTGGATGGTGATATGTATGCTGATCTGTCGGGACAACCCGTTGACATGCACAACGAAGCCGCGCCTGCTTTTGAGCCCTACCGTGCTCTAGATGTATCCCGGCTACGCCTTAGTGGCAAGGGTCACTGGGACCCTAGTCCCTTCCTCTCCGACGATTTGTACATGGCCCACAACGAGCCTCGCACTTTGCTGCATGGACTTCATGCCTGTGTGGACGAGAGAGAGCCAGTCTGAAACTGCTGCCCTGGCTAGCTTGTGGGATGGACTTGGACTTCTCCACTTGGAGCCGGCTGTCATGCCTGCCTCTGATTCCTACCTCCTTGCCAAAGCCTTCAATTGCTACAAGGGGCCTGATAAGGATAGGCAGGTTATTGATAGACGGGGTAGAAACTGGGCTGAAGCCAGACTCTGTGGCCCTAGTCTCTTCATCCCGGTCGGCCCTATGTTGGGCATGCTGGAGGTTGAGCCTTTCAGGCAGACACTTTTGTGTGCCGCAACTGACCGCAAAGACTTCTACCATCAGCTGGCCGTTTCTCAGTCTAAAGCAGCTTCAAATGCCCTAGGCCCTGCTCTTCCTCGGTTTTTGGTTGAGTCCACTGCTGCCTTTGCTGCCGCCTCCGTAAGCCAAGGGAGAAGAGCTAGCCTGACCAGGGAGCAGAGGGGCGATTGCCTCAAGGAAGCGCCCCCAGACCCAATTCGTGGTTCCCTCCTCTTCGACAAGGACCATTACTTGGTCTGTTTCAAGGCCGTTGCTCAGGGGGATCACCTTGGAGTTGAGGTCGCCACGTGTGCTCACGGCAACCTTCTGGAGGAGGGTGGGCTGTTGGGTCCGGGTTCTAATAAGCCTTTTAAGGGTGATAGGGAGGCCCAGGGTCTGGTGATAGACGACTATTTTTCGGTGTGTGTGCATGACCTCGCCTCGTTCGAAGAGCCTCTTTGCACTTCCCGCCTTGCCCGTGCCAAGAAGGTCTATGCATCCCAAGGCCTGGCTGGATCAGATGATAAGGACATTGTCTCTCAGCCTTCTGCCAAGATTGCTGCGGCAGAGATTTGTTCGACCCCTTTCATCAGGTCCCTCCGTCTGACAACCGTAGCGGCGCCGGCTCAGAAGCGTGCGGCACTCGCTTTGGTTTCTTTGGCGTCTGCCAGCCTCAGCCATACATCGGATGCTTTACACCTCTGTCTTCTGGGAGGTTGGACTGCAACTTTGCTCTTCCGACGTCCCCTGATGTCGATTCTGGCTTCGGCACACAGTGTGGTCAGTACTGCCCATGTCGACTCGCGCAAGCCTGTCCTCTGCCCTTTGCCTCGGCCTGCTGCGCAAGAGCTTGCTTTGCTGGGTGTGTTGTCTCCGTTGGCCCAGTGTGACCTTGCCGCGCCAATGGATCCTGTTCTGTACGCCAGTGACGCTTCTGAAGATAAAGGGGGTTTTGTAAAGGCCTCTGCGCCCCTACCTTTGGCCTATGTCTTTGACTTTGTGGAGATCTACAGTGGCTCCGGCAGGGTTTCCAAAGCCATGCGGTCTCGGGGTTGGGGGGTAGGCCCTTCAATTGACATTGGGGAAAGCCCCGCTTTTAATATGGAATGGCTAAAGACTTTGGAGTGGGTCCTCCACCTTTTGCAGAACGGGAGGCTCCGCAGCTTCTTGGTTGCTCCGCCCTGTACCACTTTCAGCCCGGCGGCCCACCCTGCTTGTCGCAGCTATGCCCTTCCTACCCTTCGTCGCCCAAGACGCTTCTCGGCACCACTTTGGCTCTTCGCGCTTTGGCTTTGATGTTCGTTGCCCTCCTTGTGGGTGCCATCGGTGTCTTGGAACAACCACGGCTCTCTAAGATGGCCTGGTTAACGGAATGGCGTAGGTTGCTTCTTCTCGGTGCTCGTGAGTTCTGGACTGCTTCCTGCAGTTTTGGGAGTCCGCGTCGCAAAGAATTTAGATTCTTAGCTGTTGGGATCGACTTGTCGCCGCTTTGCAAACCTTGTTCCAAAGATCATGCTCATATCCCTGTGCAGGGGCGCTGTGCTCGTGAATCTGCTAAGTATACCCCCCTGCTTGCCGATGCTCTTGCACATGAGTTTTCCCAAGCTCTGCGACGTGAATCTCACGTCACTGCTCTTCTCAAGACCAACGCCCCAGGTTTGGAGAATCCCATCGTCAACGACATTGTCCTGTCATCTGCCTGGGTTGAGGGTGACTCCTGGTTTTGGAGGTCCCCCGTTCATATCAATATCCTGGAGTCGGCTGCTGTGCTGCGGCTTCTCAGGAGTTTGGCCTTCTCTGGGCCTCGCCGCATTGTCGTTCTTGTGGACTCCAGTGTGGCTTTGCACTCTGCTTCGAAGGGGCGCAGCCCTTCTCGTGGACTTACGCCCGTGTTGAGAAAAATTTCGGCTGTCTGTCTCCTCGCGGGTCTATACCCGTCCTTTCATTTTGTTCCTACACGTCTCAATCCAGCAGACTGTCCCACTAGGGATTACCCGCTCCCCTCTCCTGCGAAATCTGCTTTTGTGCATCATCTCTCACAAGTTGAGATCTACGAGGGTCTCGCCGCACCCAAGCTGAGGCGCTGGGCTTCCAACTGGGCTCGTCTCTGTCTTCTCCTCACTCCGCATGTGCCTGGACTTGTGCCACACTTGGGATGGAGGAATTTCCATCGCTTCCGCATGGACTTTGATAAGACTTTTGGTTTCCCTGGCGAAGGCCCTTGGTTTGGGGTTTGGTTTGTTCTGGGTTTGGTTTGGACCTGGGGTAATGTAGGAGCCGTAGTTTTGAGCCATGGCATGCTGCAACCACGTAACCGGGCTGACGAGGTTCGGATGCGTGCCCGCTCCTCTGCTGTGCTTCAGGAAGGCAGGCCCGTGGAGACGGCGACCAGGCAACGACGTGAGAAGCTGCTTGCTGAGTTTGTCGGCTGGCTGGCTGGCATTGAGGTTGACTTTGAGGCACTGCTCTCTGGCAGCCTGGCGAACGCGCATTCTCTTAACAAGTTTCTGGTGCGCTACGGACGTTGCTTGTTTGAAGCAGGATGGCCTTATTCCCATTACAGTGAGGTCATCAACGCTATATCAGCAAAAGAGCCTCTTCTCCGGAGGAGCCTTCAGCCTGCCTGGGACCTTGCCTTTAGTTGGATGCGTGAAGAACCACATGAAAATCACGTTGCAATGCCCTGGCAGCTGCTCCTGGCTTCTATCGCTACTGCTCTGATTTGGGGTTGGCCGCGTGTTGCTGGCATACTGGCTCTGGCTTGGGGAGGCATCCTTCGAATTGGTGAGGTTTTTATGGCTAGGCGCTCCGACCTTCTGCTTCCTGGGGATGTAAAAGGGACTTGCGATTACGCCCTGCTTTCTGTTGGAGAACCTAAGACGAGGTACAAAGCTGCGAGACATCAATCGGCGAAGATTGATCAACCGGATTTGCTACGTGTCATTTCCTTGGCTTTTGGACCTCTAGGCTTTGCTCAGAAACTTTGGCCGTATTCTTCATCGACTTTCCGAAGCAGGTTTCAGGTTATTATGGTACGGCTCGAGACAGCGGTCCTTCCTTTTTGCAAGACAAAGAAGCTGGATTTAGGCTCACTGAGGGCCGGCGGTGCAACTTGGTTGCTTTCTGTCACTGAGGATGATGAATTGGTGCGGAGACGGGGTAGATGGATGAACCACAGGACGATGGAAATCTATATCCAAGAAGTCTCCTCCCTCCAGTTCATTCACCGCTTGCCTGAGCCTGCCCAGAAGAAGCTGTACTCTTTTGTTCAGGCCTTCGATGCCATTTTGGCACGCGCTGAACAATTGGTTTTGTTGAAGACGCCAACTACGGCTTGGTTCGCTCTTTTCTCTGTGTGACAGTCCGCTTGATGCAGAGGGTGGAAGTTGTGGGTGGAAGAGATCTTTCGTGCTT